TAAGAATTGTGTGGTACGCATGTAAATGCCCAAAATTATAATAATTGTAGACCAGTTCAGACTTCACGAAGCATAAACAATATATACATTGAAGACATTCACATTTTGATTCAAATTTTCATTACAACTCTATACAAATGTTAAAAATTGATCGTTAAGGATAACCGGTCTCAGCTTTATGACAAGTAAAGTCTATGAAAACATAATTACAGGAATTATGAGAAGTTACGAGAAGTTGTGAGAAGGCTGTTAAGACTAAACCCTAAATGAAAACAAGCAAGAAAACAGCACATGATGTGTCTGTGTCCCTATACTTGCAAGACTGCCCTATATATCACATTCGAAGTGCGGCATATCGAGGAGGTCGCGGGCGAACTGGAGTCTTCGAAGGGCTAACTCTGATTAGATGCAGACCAGAGTGAGTTTAGCTAACTATCTGGAAAAAGAGGATACAGAGAAGAAGGATTACCTGATTGGCTGGGAACCCAAGGTTGCACCACTGCAGTTGAGAGCTGCGGTTGCACTATCGGCCTGAAATTTAATGGAACGACTTAGCAATCATTATAAATCTACAAGAGCAATCTATTCGAAACCATATGAAATTATCTTTTTAACGGATAGCTACATATATTTCATGGAAGAATTACATAAATTTCACTCAAATTACTATGTATTTACATTTCTAGCACCAAAACCTCAATTTTTAAAGACATGCCATGCCACCTTATCCATGAAAAGGTGTAATTGACATCTTATAATTTAAAAAGGTGGCATTTTTATGTGATATGAAAGTAAAGAGTAAAGTATAGGCGTTAAATATGCAAATATATAGGAATTGGGTGGTATGTATTTAAATGCCCCATATTTCATTCATTAATTCTCACTTTAACAAATTTCTCTGAACAAAACTTTCCCACTAAAAACAAATAAAAAATTATTACAAATTAAAATATAAAAAATAGTAACTCTCTCTAAAAGTGAGAAATCAATCGGTTCGTCAAAATTATAAAACATATTTTGTAAAATGGTGAATTTAATAGATCGCATCATTTGGATGGAAATCATCAGAAAGCACTGTGCTTTAAATCCTACATCATCATCAATAGTTTTCTAACAGCTATTCCCGATGTTAGCCATGTTATCCACAGGTTGCTTGACTGTTGTGATCGAAATGAAATTGTCTACTGACTCATGGATTGATGTGTGGGGAAGATGTTGACCATTAATTCAATATTATTTCAACACACTATATTATAACCTCCCAACTTGTCTCTACAACAGCTTTAATAACTTCACGAAAATTTTTCTACGTTATCCACCATTTGAATTTAACAAAACAAGCGATTAGGCAATTTGTCGCTTCTAATTTTACAATTCAAGGGTCGCTGCTAAGTAGCTTCTAGAAAATGAACTATTTTTTGGTGCCAATGAGTGTGATAGGGGGTTATCTGCAGTATGCCAAATGGAAAGAATCATGATTGCGCAAAAGTGTAGATGAGAACCTCCACAAACTCAACGAAGGCAATCCGAGTAGAGTAATGATAGTCTCCTAACAGCCTCAACCGATAGACCTGTGAAATTTTGGATGAAAATTTATTTGCCACTGCATTACGGTAACAAGCTTGTGAAAAAAGAAACAATGAACAAAATTAAGTGTCAAAATAGTTCTGTCATTTTAGTCCTAGAGCTTGTAGTGTCAATCTAGTCATCAGATTATCTTAATATGGGCTGAAATAAGAGTACTATTTCAACCCCCAATTTAAAAAATCTAGGGACTAATTTGACACTTTTATAGACTTTGGGGCTCAAATGCTCAAATGGCCCCATATAAACAGTCAAGAGACTATTTGGGCACTTTAATCTTGTCTAAACAGACAAACCTCCCCACACAGTGATTCAAAGAAGAGCTTCAGATCCAATTGAGTAACCTAAAGGAATGCATCAAAACGGCAGAATAGCAATTAGAAATCCTGACCGAACAGCTCAACTGGATTGCTATAGTTACCTTTTTATCAATATTTGTACAATAGACAGTCCTCCCACACATCTCACGCTCATCTTCAGACTGAAGGGCGAGTAAAAAATAGAAATTTATTGTGGAGCCATAACAAAAAGCTAATTTTAAAAGAATGAACATCACCATTGAATTTGTATACCCTTGGCAAAAACGTTGGATTCACAGGTGCAATAGCAGTTTTCGAAGGAAGCACCCTGACAGGGTAATATCCAAGCATTGTACCAGACAAACCTAAAGCAGCGCTTGCGCCATCTGAAAATTGCAAAAATTAAGCCAAAAAAGGCTGAAAAATGGGAACCAAAAGGTTTCCAAGTTACAAATAAAGACAAATATGATGTTTCTGAAATTTTTAATTTACCTTCATCAGTGAACTCTATGAAAGCAAAACGAAGGATTGAGTTGGGATCACCACAGATACGGCAATCAACAACCTTCAAGTAAAAGAAATAGATAAAAGAATTCTGAAGTTAACTGAGCGAGAAAAGTAAGAATAGTACAACCAGACTTTACCTGTCCACAATTAATGAAGAGTGTCGCAAGCTGTTCTTCAGTGACCTGAATAAATCAAGCAATCACTACAATAGTTTTGTTCCAAATATCAACAAAATGCTCAATATAATACGCAAAGAACTATGAAACTTATTGCATGCTATTTCTGTAAGATGGTCATTCTCAATAGCTATGAAACATCTATCGCAAAAATGTGGGAAGAACTGAGATAGTAAAGACCTAGTAAAATAATAATCAGTGATGGATTGATATTTTCTACAGGTAATACAGAATCATCTGTAAGATGCGGGTTAATGAAATGTTATAAGGCTTGAACTCAAACAAGAATGCTTCTAAAATTACAAAAGGAAAGGCGGGGAGGAAAACGAGCAAAGAGAGGAATCTCTTGCACATATCGTCTACCTGATGATCAATATCCGAAACATAAACTGTCCTTCTGATCACCTCTCCTCTTTGCGCCAGATTAGTCCGACTATTCATCCTCCTCTTTTCTTGACAGTAGGTACTCCTCTTCTAACAGAACAGATGAATACAAACATACATTCTTTCTCACTAAATGCAGTCAACATCCCCCCACGTAAATAAAATTCAAACGAAAAACATCAAAGCTTTTTACCCTATTGCTATGACCAGCGTTGATCTCAGCGTCCGCGTTCTGAAACCCTAATGCGTTAGAATAACGCCAACCGCTGCCATTCCCATGCCCGGCAAGCGACGAAGGGACGAACTCCTCCGCCATAGGGTTTAACTTCGACAAAAGGTCCTCCAAATCCTTCATTTCCTTCTTGAACCCCTCAACTGCCGCTTCATCCCGTCGGCCCCCGATCGCGTCTTTGCAAAGTTGAACGTTGGCAAGGTAAGAAGCCAGGCCGCGAGATGAAGTGGGAGCGCCGTCTTGGATGTTGTGGTGTCGGAAAGCGACCTGGTGAAGCCCGTAGGCAGGTGAAGGAACCGGCATGGAAGACCGCACGAGGTCTTGGTCGCGATCATCATAGAGATTGAGTGTATCCATTAGGTTAAGTTTTCGGCCGGAGGATTCCGATTGCTTGCCGACGGTCATGAACGGCGAAGGAAAGACGTCGGTTTCCGGCTGTGGGGCCTTCCGCCGGATCTTCTCCCTTTGTCTTCTTCGGCGCTTTTGAAGTTCACTCTTCTCCCCCTTACTTCTTATCAATTTACAGACAACCACCCACACACACTCTCTCTCCTTACAGTATTGGCTCAGAGCGAAGTGGAGAATGGAGCCAAGTCGTGCAGTGCAGCAATACTGCGAAGAATACAGTTACGCGTATTTCAGTTTTTATATTTTTTATGGTTTTTTTAAATTAATGCATTAAATATGTAAATTTTTTATTTGTCTATTTATTTATGTTAAAAATTAATAATATATGAGATATTTTTTTTGTATATTACATGCATAAAAAATTCTAACTACTTTAAAAATTTTATATTATAGTTTAATAAAATATCCAACTGTCAGTAATAATAAACACTGGGAGTTCGTTTGAGTCGCCCTCTTTTTTTTATTTCAGAAATATATTTATTCAATGTATTTTTTTATTTTTTGAAAAAAAAACAAATTGATTTATTTTAAAAAATATTTAAGCATATTATTATATATTAAATATATTTTATTTCAGCTAAAAATTAAAAAAAAACAAAAAAAGAAAAAAAAACATAGGGCTTAGCCCAATATAAATTATCTAATTTTTCTTTAAATTACATAATTTTATTTTTTTTCTTAATTGGAGAAGATAGAATTACAACATTTAATTTTTTATTATTACAATCATATTCTTAGATGATAATAATAATTAAGTAATAATGATTATACAAAAATATCATATCGATAATTGTTAAGCAACAAACCTCATAGGACAATTAGTGGTTTCAAGAACTGTTTGTGGTGGTTACTAATTTCTTAGAGTGATATTATTAGCGGCCTCTTTTTTTCCATTATATAAAGAAGTATGACTTAATTTTTTAGAGTTTTGTTTTAGGTTCCGTTTGGGGCAACTTTTTCGGTGCGGTGACGTTTTGAAAACACACATGACCTGTTTGGGTAAACTGTGTTTTGACAGCTCATTTTTTTTCAAAACGCTAAAAACATTATTTTCATACCCACCTATCTAGGTGCGATGACAATTTTTTGGATGCGGTCTAACTTTTCTAAGAAAATAAAAATTTGTAATAACCACCACAATTAGCTTATCAGTAGACTATTCAATAAGCTGCAGCTGCCCCAAACAGAGCCTTAATAAATTTAACTTAAATATTTCATTAGATGGCTGCTGCTGATTACATTAATTATCAATTATTTTCTGAACATTTAATTATGTTAGTAACCCAATAGTTTAGTAATTTGAGTTTTTTTTTTATTCAGAGACGTTTAATATGATTATAAACAATCAAATTTAGAGATTATTTGATCATTCATTTGATTTTTTATGATTTTCAATCATAATTCAAAATTTTGATTTGAGCCATATATTTTAGATAGGATAGCTTCCGTAATCTATTAATATTAACACTTGAATTTTAATTATACAATATGTATTTTCTTAAAATCAATACCTTCTCGGTGCTGAAAAAGTTGGAATGTAATAAGTGGCATTGAGCCTGTTTGGTGCACCTTCAATTTTGGAAATATCTAGTTTGGTGTAGCGTCTTATAAGGTAAAAGCTGGTCCTCGGCGACCGCGGCTCTGCGCACGGCATTAATGGCTACTGGCTCATAAGTACTCTGTACGGTTAAAACGCAGGTAGCTTTCTTGCCCGTAAGGTTTCCATTTAAATATCACAAATATTTATCTTTTATTTTTTAGACAGTGGAGAATCGGAAAGGCAAGAAAAGACCCTCAAAATAATAATAATAATAATAATAATAATAAAGCAAAGCAAAAAATCATTTCCCAAGTTTTTAATAAGTGATATTATACTTAGAGAATTATATAAAATAGCCATATAACAATTTGATCCCATCGATTAATAAAAATTCTTACCAACTACATATGAATTAAGGGACATTGCCTTTAATTCTAAAAAAAATAATATTTAAAAGAAGGCTTCACATATTTTATGGTTTATATCAACGCCATAAAAAAATATTTAATAAAATAATTAATTTTTTTATTTTTCTATTTCTTCCGCCCCGCCCTGGTGAGGGATCCAAAGAGAGTAATAAATAATTATAATCCCATATAATTTTATAAAAAAATGTACTCATATAAAGGGATAAATTTCTGCTTGGAGCAGCCGAAGTTTATTGAATAAGCTACTGATAATTAAAAATAAATAATCTGCTGATAAGTTAGGTAAAGTTGTCATTACAAATTTTTATTTTTTTTTGAAAATCAATGTCGTTGCCACCGTACCTAGATAGGTGCGATGTGAAAAAATTGTTTTCAACATTTTGAAAACACCTAAGCTGTCAAAACGCAATTTACCCAAACAGTTCAGGTGCGTTTTCAAAACGCCAACGCACCAAACAAGCTGCTCCAAATGGACCCTTAGTGTAAAGCAGATGACTTTTTTCTTGTTGAACTATTACCTAAAATTGAATACATTATAACATTTACTCCACTCTCTTTATCTTGACCCTTCTTCAATAGCTCCCTCCTTGGGGTGATTCCACGGGCAACACAAGGTTCAATAAAGGACAATAAAAAATCCTCTTGACTCTTATTTAAGCAGAAACACACAACTAGCTATGAATTGTGATGATAAACTCGCAAGAAGATATTTTTCAATGAATTTTGACATGCTACAAGTGTCCTTTCAATAATGATGCAAATGAATGTAATAGGTAGATTAGAATGGGTTTGTTTCATAAAATATTGATTTATTTGGTATTTTAATAGCTTTTTAATTGTCATTCTAGTCTATAAATACTCATGCGGAGTATTAGGGCATCCTAAGGAAATTATAAAATACTCTTGTGCTCTGGCTCAATATGCTCTTTCTCCTAAATATATGTATTTGTAGGAATCCTACATTGCATAATCATTTTATCCTTGATCACTACTAAAAGTTCTACACATATTTTAAGTTACCTACTTAAGGAAAATGTTCTATTATTTTAGTCATTATCTTTTCATTTGTTTACAATAAATAACATTGTTTATATGAAACTCATGTTATGCATAAGCTTGGAGTGCCAAGTTTTCATAAATTAAGGAGATGATCTCCAAGGGATTAAGACGATGGTCGCGTATGAGAATATGGTGAGACTACAAATTCCTTAGGCACTTTTTTTTCCTCTTACACTTCGTCCCCTCACTTAACTTTTATCATCTTCCATTCCACTCATGTAAACCTTCAGTTTAAACTTTCTCCACTCTCACCGACTCAAAGTAGAAATTGGCCCACCACCCCTAACAGTCATTGCAGCTCTAACCACAGCCCCCATCATCCACACTCCACTCTAATGCCAATTAATGTCCCCACCACCCCCCACTCCACCCCAACCCAAATCAATGACCCTACCATCCACCCCACCCAACTAACCATCGCCCAACTTATTAAGTACCAATACATTAAAGTTTGGACTAATTTCTTTTAATTTAATTTGCTAATTTTAATTTTGTTAAATAAATCTATAAATATACTTTAATTTAATCTAGTTATAATTGTGGCTGATGTCTTCTTGTAGCAAGGCACCTCGGGTCCCTAGGCAGGCGTAATTCCTCTTTATTGGCAGCATGTTTTGACGGTACATCCCATTTTTGTGTGTCATGTTGCATGTAGACATCCTTGTATTCGTTTGTATGATGTGTGCTTCGTCTTTTGATGTTCGTTGTGATTGCTTCTTGCTTCAGTCGAACAACCACAATGTGGTCTTTTCATGTTTGTATGCTTGCCCATTTGCCTTGATGACTTGTCCTACTCATTAGCAGAGCGACCCATTTATTGGTTGTGATACTCAAACGAGTATTGCCCATGAGGATATCTGCGAGCAATGCAAGTTTCTATATCATGAGTAACAAACAATATGACTGTGCTAAAGATCTAAGGACTTTAAAATAAGTCACTTGATTGTTCCAGATCAGTTGTTAGCAGTCCGTTATTTTAAAATATAAAAAAAGATATTTTTGCTATTATAAGTATTATTCATCTACTTTAAAACTATATATGTTAGGCCATATATTAGGCCACCTCTTTTAAAATGTCACTCGTTTCTTGTGATGTGCTTTATTTCCCTTGAATCTTTAGGATGTGGCCAATGTTGCTACCTCGTTAAAGTTTTGCGGTAACCGGAGGCTTTACCCTGAGCACATAGATGCTAGTTAGAGCACTCATCGTTATATGCTATACTCTGTTAGGATTAGGATGCTAGGTAGTATATTTAACACCTCTAATTATAGTTCTCTGATGGTTCATTTGTTCTAGCCAATGCTGACTTTTGTGTTTTTGATGTGCTTGTGTGTGGCAATTTTTGAAATGCATTATAATGTAATGAGTTGTCTTCTATAGGGAGTCATGTAATATATATGCACACACATATGTACAATAAAAAGAGGGATCATGTGATGATTCACATATTAACTTTTTATTGCAAGTACTGCTTAGTTCCCTCACCAAGCATGACTCAGACATGTTGCATACGAATAGTGGTTTATGATAACATGTTCTCATGCAGGTCGAGTTCTTTTTTTTTATTTTCTTTAGAATTTTTGAAAATCCTTAGGATATACTTGTGGTAAAAATTAGATACAAACATGGGTTCTGAGGCATTTTGGTGTGAGAACCAAGTGGCGGGGGACTATAAGCAACAGATTCTGTCCTGTATCTTAATTCTACATTTGATATTAATGTATAGATTTAGGACGGTACATATATACAGAGTCTGATAACTATTTTTTTTTTGGGATATGTTATTGACCTAACGATATCGACCTTTATTTATATTTGGCTGGTTATACTGCTTTATTGCATATCTATATGGTTGGATTGTTTTTCGCTCTTTTGGCTTATGACTTTGCTTGGAATCCAACGTTATAATTTAGACTCTTTAAGGACCTTAATATTATAAAATTTTAATAAACATATTAAAGAATCAAGATTAATCAAAATTTAGGAATAAAATATTAAACTATTTAAAACATGAAGTTTACTTTCTTGCATGGCCTTCGAGTCGATTTTAAAATAATTTGCATAGCATGACTATATGTCATCCCAAGTCATATAATAGAGTAGATAACTGCATCATGTTTGCATGTCTCGTGGAAAGCCCCCGAGCTTCTTCAA